TAATACCATCTCTTCAGGTCCTAATTTCCACAATGAACATGCAACATGCATGGGTTTGTACATGATCTGACCAGAACTGATTTATCACCATTTTCCACTCAAGATGGGATCCCCAAAGATGGGTCTTGATTCTCCCTTTTGTAAGTAGGTTTATTCTATTACAGTGGTCACTTTTTAATGGCTATAGATACCTCCTGAACTGGTTAGGTAGCCCATTGTGCTGATTCATTGTGAGGAAAAAAATGGATGCTGAAAGAGCAGTTATGTCTGTTAGATCGGCGCCGGAAAGAAACGCGACTCAGCTGTTGTCTGTTCAGCACTTTATTAGAATAGTAAAACAGACTGCCGGCTGGGGCTGCCGAGCCGCCTTATATGCATCTCAGGCATGCCAGCCGGCCAATGACAGTTGTTTAAACTTCCCACCGGTGGAATCAACCAATCCCCCGGCGGATGTCCTTATAAGGACATAACAATGTCCATAGCTCCCAATTCAGAAGCCTACTTCAATAATTTTCCTTAGGTTGTTTATTAACTGGGGTTTTTTTTTTTTTTTTTTTTGTAGTTGTTGTTGTAGTTGTTGACATGATGACTCTCTAGTCAAGTCCCTGCATTTTTATTTTCATTTTTTGCAAGATATTCAGAAGTGATTTGTCACTGCCTTTTCCCTAAGGTTGAGACAGAGTGTGTGGCCAAGGTCATCCAGATAGTTTTGTGCCTAAGGCAGGACTAGAACTCACAATCTCCCACTTTCTAGCCTGGTGCCTTAACCATAATACCAAACTGGCTCTAAATCATATAAATACCCAAAGTAAACTGCAACACCCACAACTCCAAAATGTTAGATTTATACATAATAGATGTTCCTGATTAATCCTTCATCGTTGGATCTGGAGAGAATTGTCAGTAATTATCTTCATCAGATGGTAACCAAACTATTATCCAAATATCAAAATGATGCACAAATGAGATTACTCAGAATGCTTGTAAATTCTCATGACTGAGATTGTTTCAAAAAGTTGTAGTAGATAGTCCTCAAGAAATCTGTAGCTGCTCTGTGGTTATGGCATGGGGAAGGCATGCCTCATAATTTGGAGATATAGTATTTATCTCTGTGTGAATTGGATGGCTATATGCATTTTCATAAATAAATTTCTTAAATAAAAGTGATAATATGAAGTCTGAACTTTTGGAAGTAGATTAGTACACTGGCAAATTGTTTCTTGAAATATGTTTCCCATGGCAATACAAATTTGATTTACCATAATTATCTTCCTCCATTCATCTCCAGTTGTTGAATATGTATCCTAGTCTAGACAAGGGGAGAAAAAAGAAACGATAGTTCCCTTTTGTGAATTTCTTTAGTTTATTTAGATTTTACACCAAGTCTTGTTGTCCTGTGATCATTTCCACCCTTAGAGGATGTGTTCATTGACAATGTTTACACATTATTCTAAGCTGAAATGTGATTGGTTGTTCACAGTTCAGGGAACAACAGTCAACCAATTAGATCAATTCAATTAACTATGATTAAATAATGATTAGTAAATGCAGCTATTGAATCTATGTGTGATAGTGAACATACACACACACATTTTTTTTAATACAAAGGTTCTTTAGTATAAGGTCTCTGTAGTATCTCTAGAATCTTCAACTACAGGTGCTTTGCACTGAATCTGGTTCCTCTGCATTCAAAACATGCTTTTGCTCTGATTTTACTCCTATGAAATGTGAACACCATTGCAAAGGTTCCTTTTAATTTCCTGTTAACACCTATCTAATAAATACTGTGAAATTATCATTGGTTTTCCTTATGGTATAGCAATTGCTTGTATGTATGAAAATTTACACAGAAGTTGGCAGTTATTTGCATTACATTTGCAAAATTAATACAGTGTGGAATTTGCTGCCATCTCATGATAAATTAAATTAAATTAACCAATTTAAAAGGGAACTGGACAGATCAGGCTATCTGGGATTTATGGCTGTTTATTATTTCTGGTATCACAGGCAACATACCTTAAGTAACAATTGCCATAGAACAAGAATGGAAATGGGCCTTTGTCCTCCTAGTCATGTTGTAAATTTATTCATGTGTTTGCAACACTAAATGGACCAAGTCTTATGTTTTCTTGGAGGGCTAGAAACCTAGAAGGGGAATAGCAATGGAAATTAGATTGATCAAATAAATCCACCTTTTTTGTTCAGATTTCCACTTACTCTGAAGGTCAGTAGCCTTTAACAAAATGGATTCTGATCTACTTCTGCTCATCAGCGCTGATGTGACTGACCCTAAAGACCTTTTGAAGCCGACTGCCAAATACTTGCAGGGATTAAATCTAGCTAGTATCAGAAAACTTGCACCATGTTTGGTTGGACATTCTTGGAAACGGAACCCAGATGGACATTTCTTACAGCACTACAAAGTAGAAGGCAATTTCCCACTTTTGGCTCCTTTCCACAAATGAAGAAGGATCAGTTGACAGCTCATAAATCTTGTGCAGCTTTCAAACAGATTATATGGATTTTAGAAACTATTTGTCGGGACAAATAGATAAAGAGAAGATAGTGAAGGACACACATGTTGGAGTTTTTTCTAAAGTGAATGAATGAGCACTGCAATGACTTCACATTTCTTGGTGTTTATTGAACTGGAGATTCTCACAAGATAATTTATTTTGGAGCAAGTTACATACATCAAGGTATACTTGCTAGAAAATCAGTGCAATTTGTAATAGTTAAATTTATCCTTCCAGTAGATGTGCTCTAGATCTAGAGTTAGATAAACGGTGCAAAGCTATACTAATAAGTTTTTTAATTTAAAAAACATAAGTGAAATCAAGAACATTTATCACCGCTCTTCTGCGACTGGGAAGATTGGCTTCTCATAGAGGCATTATTTAAATTAATATTAAGTAATTATTAATCCCTTGAGCTAACGTACAATGCTATAAACCAAATAGTTTGAAAGTGTCAACGAAATTGTGATCCAGGTGCCCCTTGAAAAATGTTATCTATAAAAACAAAAAATAATATTTGTCCAAAGTGTTGGCTGTGTGTGAATATGTTACAACAAAAATTGTATCATGGACTTCTTCATTATCGTAATACGGTAGTTTTTTGTGGATTAGAATCCACTGATCCAAGAAATTTTCAATTCCAGATTGAGATTAAATGGAAATAGAACGTAGAAAATTCTTTTAATTATTGTATTAAGAATAGCCAAGAGAAAAAAAGAAAATTAAAAAAGTATACACACACATACACATATTTTATGCATGTATACTTTTTAGGGAGGTGCCTTCCAGTCTGCTTTTGACTCTTAGCAACTACCTGGACAAGTCCCTGCAGTTTTCTTGCCAAGATTTTTTTGGGAAGTTGTTTGGCTTTGCTTTCTTCCTAGGGTTAAGCAACAATGACTGTCCCAAGGTCACCTAGCTTCAGGCCTAAAATAGGACTAGAACTCAAGTCTCTAGCCTGGTACCTTAACCATTACAGTACACCAAACTGATTCCTATGTATGAATGTAAGTAGCTCCACATATTCATCAGTAGTAGGTCTATTTCCAGCTATACATTTAAGACTTTTCCACCCAGGAACTAGAGCTAAAAGTAAAATTCTGTTCTCATCTCATAATTTCCACTTGCACTGAGGTGTGTTTAGTGTGGCTAATGTCCGAGAGGTCCTGCTAGCATGGGCAAGAGGTGTATAAACTACAGAGGGGGTGGGGGTGGGAAACCATGCTAAATAGAGGGGAAGGAGCAAGAGAAATTGGAAGTCCATTTCAGTTTCAGATCGTTGGACGAGGAACGCGATGACATGATGACCCATGTATTATGACTTATTCCCAAGGAGTTGTGCTTTTCCCTCGCATACACACACAGAGCAGCTCACATTGATTTTGGTCTCAGGGACGACTCACACCCTGGTCACCACTTCTTTATCCTCCTACCATCGGAAAGGAGATATAGAAGCATAGCCAGCTGCACAAATGGGCTGAAGAAGAGTTTTTATCCGTGGCTGTCAAAACTCCTGAATGCGAAATTAATGAGCCTTGGTGGCGCAGCGGACTAAGTGCTGTTAAAGTAGCACTTAGCTACTGCCTGCAATTACTGCGAGTTCAAATCTCACCAGGCTCAAGGTTGATTCAGTCTTCCATCCTTCCGAGGTAGGTAAAACGAGGACCCGGATTGTGGGGGCAATAAGCTGACTTTGTATATATATATAAAAAAAGAACACTGCTTTTGGGGGGGGGCAAAAGCCCTACTAAGCAGGTATATACAAAAGTATGAAGGCTATTGCTTAATGCATTGTAAGCCGCCCTGAGTCTCTGGAAAAGGGCAGCATGTAAATCGAACCAATCGATCGATCAATCAATCAATCAATCAATTACATCATAACTATGTAGTACGATGGACTTGCAGGGAAGGCACAAAGTGTAACATGTACACACTGGTGCAATAGGACTGAGTGGTTGTTAATATGATTTATTGGGTTAGAGATTTTCTGTCTTCACTGTGAGTCGTATTATGTTGGAGGGGTTGCACCGAGGGAGCTCAACCAATCTCATTGTACATATGTTGTGCACTGACAATAAAGATTTGAATTGAATTGATTACAGAAATGAAAGCCTTGGCATTTTAACTTCCCCACCTCCATCTTTTCCTTTATTGCACAACGCTCCGCCAAACGAACAACAACAACAACAACAACAAAAGCCCACAATGCATTCACATCCTTTCTTTAAAGCGTCTCCAAGGGGGAACCCCAAAGGCTGCCGGAAAATGTAGTACCCTCTAAGAACTACCACGCCCATTTCTTCCGCAACATTCCCCCCCCACCCCCATGTAAATAACCATTCGACCAATAAAAGGTGAGACACCCGCCTCTTCGGTTTTTCCGTTTAGCCAATCGGGGCCCGCTTTTGCCTCCAGGAGGCGGGGACGGTTGCCGGGGCTTACCGTGGCGTCATTCGAGGTCAAAGGTAGAAGAGTTAAAAAAAAAAAAAAAAAGAGGCGGTGGTTGCTGCTGCTGCTGCTGCCTGGCCGCGAGAACGAGCTGGCCGCCTGGCCGCGCCCTAGTCGAGAATGGCGGTGGAAGCGGCGCTGGCAGCGGTCGGAGGGAGAGACGGGGCCGAGCAGGTCCTGAGCCGCTTCAACGAGCAGGTACTGACAAGATCCCGCTGGTCCTTCTCGTTCTCCGTTAGCGGCACCGCCACCTCCCCCCCCCCCCCCCGCTTTGTCAGCCTTCGGGGCACCTTTCCCATCATCCGCCTTCCAGGTGCTGGAGAGACAACGCCCATAATTCCCATTTGGTATTAAGCCTGGGGAGAATGGGAGTTGCAGTCCGCGCACCCTTGCACGGTGCTAGGATGGAGAAGCCTCCGATGCTAGGATGTCCCCGCCTCTGCTGCCAGCTGGGCGTCCTTCTTGAGCCTTTCAGCCTTTCATTGGGGTCCGGGCAGCCTTGACGGACCCTCCCTTGCTGCTCCAGCTGCGTTGATCCACCATCTGTCCATCATCTACCGGTATCTCCACCCGTCAAAGCCTTTTGGAGGGCACAAGGCTGGGTGAAGTTGATTCTCTTGTGGGGCTGTATGGAAGGCATCCTGGGCATAACCAGCTCCTCCCAGCAAAGTGCATAAGATTGCAACGGCCTTGGCCTTGCCTCTGCCGTGCCATGCCATGCTACGCCATCAATACCTTTGTGTAATTGGAAGCTGGCCTTTTTTGTTCTGCCAGATATGAGCATTCAGCTCTGCCTATTATCCACAACAAGGATGGTTTTCTTTCTAGGCTTACTCCCATTTCTTGTATCTTTCCCAGTAATAACATTATTTTCTCTTAATTGCATTATTATTATTATTATTATTATTATTATTGGTTAATCTTTAGTGAGATTCACAGCCTTTGAGACTGGTTAATAGCTCAGCAGCTCAAGTCCTAACCAAGGACCTAGGAACTATTATTATTATTATTATTATTATTATTATTTAATTTTTAGTGAGATTCACAGCCTTTGAGGCTGGTTAATAGCTCAGCAGCTCAAGTCCTAACCAAGGACCTAGGAATTATTATTATTATTATTATTATTATTATTATTATTATTATTATTTAATTTTTAGTGAGATTCACAGCCTTTGAGGCTGGTTAATAGATTATTATTATTATTATTATTATTATTATTATTATTATTATTATAGTTATTATAGTTATTATTATAGTTATTATTATTATTATTATTATTATTATTGTCGATGCTATTTAATTTTACCCATCATGGCTGTCATTTTCTGCCCAATATCCCGGACTGCCATGGTGATCACTATCACTATTGTAGGCTGTAATTTCTGCTATTTCAGTATTTATATTTTTCCAGAATATAATGCATAGATTCTCAAAAACCTTTCTCACTTCCTTTAGGGTCATGAATTACTTCCTCTTCTGTGTATGCATATGAAAATGCAAGCTTATGCTATGAACTCAACAAAGTCTGTAGCAAAAATGCATGACACTGTTAATCATATTAAAGGTTCTAAATCTATAACAATTAGAACTATGTTTACATTTTACACACCTCTAAGGCAAAAAAAAAGGCAAAAATCAAAATTCCATGAAAACAAGTAACTGATTTAATTTTTCATATTTTTAGCACTCTTTGAACTTTCCTCATTTTTAGAATTTTATTTTTTTGATAATGTGAAGAATGGAAAACAAAATTCCTCATTTGTCTATATATAGACTAATGATTGGAGGGTTTTTTGTGTGTGTGTTAGGAGTTGGGTACCAGTAATTGAGTTCCTCTACTCCTTTGGGTACTCTTCTACACAAGATTACCTTCTGTTGACATCCCCTCCCCAGGTAGTTGCCTAGCTACTAGAGAGAGAACTCTAGCAACACTGCTAATCAGTAACTACTCACTAGTATATTGCAAAGATAATTGAAGTGTCTAGTTAAAGTAATCTGCTAGGCCCTAGTTAAAATTTCTGTTGTTTGATGGATGTTCTCAAAGAATTTTCTAACTTGGGTCAAAACACATCCTATAATTTGTTAGAACATATTACTACTTGTATAGCATAGTCCCAGTTTGGATGGGGATTAAATTGTGAGATGCTTCTTGCTACATATTTGAAGAGTGTTGATCCAATAACTCTTTCACTGCTGAATATTTTAATAGGCATATCCCCTTCTAGCTCCCATTTCGTTGCCATGGTTAATAGTCATGGTAACCTGTTGTCCATGAACTCATACTTTGTAAAATCCATCTTGGCACTGTCTTGGTAAGGACCTTTTGCTAATAGCTCTATTGTGATAATTCTGATACAGTAATCCTGTATAAACCCCTCTGAGCTTGATGAGGTTTCATTCTAAGTACATATCCTTAGGATTGCACTGTCAGAGTATTAAGGCTGGCATTTCAGAGGATGGTTTGTCAATTGGCTGGGGAAAAATCGCTAACTGAGCAGTCTTAAGTAGATTAAACATCGGCATGGAAGGCAAATGAATTGCTAGCTAATCTATTCAAGTTTAATTGAAAAATAACTCAATTTTGGTAAAGGTTCAGACATTGAATTAAAGTTTGTTTTAGCAAAATAAACTGTGTAAGCCTGTATGAAAAATGTATATTAACTTTTTAATGACTTTTGCTTATTTCTTCAGAATAGGGCTACTTTTAAATTTGAGTCATCAGATGAAGAAAAAAGAAAGGTAAGCATGTTAACCACAAGCATCAAACTATGTGTCCATTAAAATATATATGAAGTTTGGTTTGATTGAGTAGTGCACATGTGATTGAGGCTGACAGCTTTTACAGCAGCAATACAATTATGTTATTGTACTTGAGGATACAGGGGAAAAAAAACATTTTTCAGAACTGGCAAGTGAATTGATAATACCAACAACCAAGATTTCATTCCCAAAGAGGAATCAGGCATTCTAAAAGCACATGAGCTGTTTAATTTGTTGGTTTGCTTCTCAAGCTTTTTTGTTTAGTTCATGCCTTTGAACTAAAAAACATGGGTGGTTGTTTAGTTTAATGTTTTTAACATTATGCAAACTGGATTATTGGAATATTGTTGGTGATTCAGGATGCTTTGAAAAAGTAGATAAATTGATAGTGACTGCAGGCTTATTGTGCATTATACAAGAGGGACCCCAAGCCTACATTTTCTAGTAACACTAGATTCATCATTTTTTTACATTATATGCAGACTTGTCCCTAATTGGAAAACACTTACATGTACATTAAGTTTCTCTGGTTGTGGGTACTCAAATAATAAAAAAAGAAAAATGATACAGACAAATGAAAAATTTGTCCTTCAGAATGGTTTCTGCAGATGGTTTGTATTGAGAATAAGAGGTTTTACTGTATATACATAGTCCTCGACTTACAACCACAATTGAGCCCAAAATTTCTGTTGCTAAATGAGATATTTGTTAAGTGACTTTTTCCTCATTTTATGACCTTTCTTGCCACAGTTGTTAAGTGAATCGTTGCAGCTGTTAAATTAATACCATGGTTATTAAGTGAATCTGGCTTTCCCATTGACTTTGCTTATCAGAAGGTTGAAAAGGCCATCTCACGACTCTGGGACACTACAGCCGTCACAAATACGAGTCAGTTGTCAAGTGTCTGAATTTTGATCACATGACCATGGGGATGCTGCAACGGTTGTAAGTGTGAAAAGCTGTCATAAGTCACTTTTTCAGTGCTGTTGTAACTTCGAACCTCACTAAATGAATGGTTGTAAGTCGAGGACTACCTGCAATATTTTCTTATAATAAAAAATATTAATCCAAATCATCCTATTTTATTAGAAGTAGACAGTAGAAATAAATGTAAAGGAATGTTTATAGTGTTTTTTATTGCATAACTTGTTAACGTAATCAATACCCTTCCGGAAGGTATTTGGGAGTAAAATTTTTAAACTGGTTATTTAGCATTTCAGAAAGAGCATACATATCCTCTAGGTTTTGGTGAATCTAGGAAATAAGTTTGGGAATTTGACGAGAGCCCCAATTCTAAAAGACATCAAGCTGTTGGATCAGAGCAACAAAGGGAAACAAAAATTATGGTTCCTTTGAGAGTATTATAGTGTACTTAGGAAAATGGAAATTATAAGCAAGTCTCTGAATAATGCAGATATAAAAACTCCGCCAAAAATGTTGCATGTAAAGGAGTTGCTTTCAGCATTGCTAGCATCTAATTAATGTTTCATAAATCTGAGACCTTTTGTTGTTTCCAGGAGTTAGCATTTTTTACCCGAATCCTAAGTTTCCCTTATACTTGGATTTCTTCTGACAATAAAGTACACACACACACATATGGACTGATACTTGTGATATTTGCATAAGAGAAAGCTACTGGAAGAATAAATCCTTAAAGTAGGAACAGAGTATAAACACATGGCATGAGGCTGCATGCATTCTCTAGAAACTAGAGAACTATGCAGATACAAAGGGCTTATATTTACAGATAAGCAAATTGTAATTGCTTAATTAGCCAGTTCCTGGTTTGTTTCCTCAAATAATATAAAGGTTTGGTTCAGGTATAAAAACTCAGAAAATACAAATTAGTTCCTGTCAGAACTAAGCCTTCCATCACTCCATTACCCAGCCAGAATTGATGAAGCTTCTTGGATGAGAAGCTAAACGTCTTCTTCCTCCTCAAAGAAAAAATATAGTCCACTTGCCTTTTGAAAAAGCACCTTTGAGACAGCCATGACCTGGTTGACTGAGAATCTCCATAGACATTAAGAAAATACAAATTATCACCATTTCGATATACCACTGTCATAATTGCAATTAATAAGCTAAAGCAACCCATTGTTTCAAAGTGAGGTACTTCCCTTAAATGCGATTTATTTGTTCACATTATTCCAAGACAAAAACAAGCACAATTGTTTGATAATTGGCATGTTATATAATCCCAGCCACTGATCTGCTTAAAGGATTTATCTTAATTTAGTAAGGGTAGTTCAGATTCTGTTTCTACTAAATAATTTATTAGTTGTTTCTAATCATTCATCCATTCTGCAGCTAAAAGTACATTTTAGGGCTGTCTGCTTAGCTTAAATTTTAAACTTGTTTATCTTCATTAATTTGATAGGCTGACTATGGAAATGTTTTAAATTGTTGAAAAACAAATATGGCTTAGTTAACTTTTGTTACCATTTACTACTGTAAGGTTTTATTGAGGTCTATGCCCGTTTACCCTGGTTTTTTTCCTTGTCTCATCTCAGTTGCCAGACAGTTCAGGTTCATTTGATTATGGTTGGTAACGTTTGAGGAAGTATATTTCTTATTAAACCCAAATGACCAGCATGTAGTTTAAAACTTCACCAGAAGAACTTTTATGGTCAAAACCATTATAAATTATACTGTAATATTTTCAGTATTATCCAAAGGTAGAAAATCCATCCTTCTTGTTTGTTTTAATACAAATCCTCTTGGTGTGGTTTAATTTTATATGTAGAAGCAGTCTTTGGGCAGCAATTACCATCCATGTTCTTTGTCGAGCAGCCATATTAATCTGTTGGAGCAAAAGTCACAAATCATCCTGGTGTCCTTTAAAAACAAATCCATTTATTACATCAGGAAGTTTCATGTGCCAGACAGTCTACCTTTTAAGATTCATCGGGTCTTGTTTCTGTAGATGTGGCTTTCGCTTGACAATGGCAGATTACAGTGGTCAAAGATCAGATCCTCTGCTATTTCTTGTCTATGGCCTGGTCATATCATTCGAACGTAGTGTTCCCCAAGCTGGTTTCCTCCAGCTATTTAGATTAAATATCGTCTTCTCAGATATTAGAATCCAAGTTTGGAAACACCATGTTAGGCAATACAGTTAGGCTCAATGTGGAGAATGAATTTGGCCATTGTGTTTTGTAAATTATGATTTATGGCTTAGCACAGTTTATCAGACTAGTTAATTAACATACAGTGCAGTGGTGAAATCCAATTTTTTTTACTACCGGTTCTGTGGTGGACTTGGTGGGCGTGGCTTGGTGGGTGCGGCTTGGTGGGTGTGGCAGGGGAAGGGTCCTGCAAAATCTCCATTCCCACCCCACTCCAGGAGAAGGATACTGCAAAATCCCCACTCCTGGTGGAAGGATATTGCAAAATCTCCATTCCCACCCCACTCTGGGGCCAGCCAAAGGTGGTATTTGCCGGTTCTCCAAAGTACTCAAAATTTCTGCTACCAGTTCTCCAGAACCTGCTGGATTTCACCCCGATACAGTGGTTTATCAGGGTAGAATGGGTCTCTCCCCCCCAATCCTTTGCCTACCTGAACTCAGTTAAAATTGTGGTTGCTAATGTCAAGGACACTTAACAGGAAGGATTAGATAACGTCTTGTAGTCTCACTTTGTGTCATGTAGAATCAATAGTGGGAATGATGTTGACTTTCTACAGTCTGAATGAGTTATATAGAAGCTGGAAAGGGGAGATCAGCTCATTTATTATCTAATTTATTTGTAGAGTTCTTGTGTATTTCATTATAACCATACTGCCTAGTGAAAAGCTACATGCCTCTATTGAGGTCAATAAATTTAAAAACATGTCCATTTGATAAGCCTCCTATTGAGGATTTAATTAAAATCCATTGAGAACTTAGAAATGGGATGTTCCTGGGACAAAAAAAAAAAAACCCTGAGCATAATAATGAACTACAAAACCTTAAGGTCAATTGAGCATGACACAATGACAATTATTTGTGTAGGAGGCAAGGAACAACATGTACTTGGCAAACAAATCTTGGTGAAACGCTGGGGACTGCCTGTACAGTGGCTCATGTGACATCATATGAGTTGGATATTTTGGGGTCTTATATTTTGCTTTCCAGTTATTAGACCCTGTTGAAATAATTGCTTGTTTCTAAAGAAGGTGGCTCAGTGGCTAAGATGCTGAGCTTGTAGATCGAAAAGTCGGCAGTTCAGCGGTTCGAATCCCTAGTGCTGTGTAACGGGGTGAGCTCCCGTTATTTGTCCCAGCTTCTGACAACCTAGCAGTTCGAAGCACGTAAAAAATGCAAGTAGAAAAATAGGGACCACCTTTGGTGGGAAGGTAACAGCGTTCTGTGCACCTTTGGCGTTTAGTCATGCCGGCCACATGACCACGGAGATGCCTTCGGACAGTGTTGGCTCTTCGGCTTTGAAATGGAGATGAGCACCGCCCCCTAGAGTCAGGAATGACTAGCACATATGTGCAAGGGGAACCTTTACCTTTACCTTAAAGAAGAGGCACACCAAATTGTGGAAGAAGTTTATTGCAGATCTGTTTATTTTATTTTAGTTTCATTTACGTAGTTTTGATAGTAATAACTATCAAGCTCAGCTAGATTGTTGCTATTCTGGAATACATTTCTAAACTAAATCTTGGACAGTAACATATTGTTTCTATTTGGTTGACAGTGATTATTTCCAGTGTATGCTTGTACAAAGTTAGCGAAAACAACACCAAAGAAGCACAAGAGTGAAATGGATCATAATTTGGATATAAACTTTGATTCCAGCAAAAATCCATAAGGATGAACTGACTATAGATATTACTGGAGAAATACAAGTTTTTAACTGAGGTGTGAGAGTTTTCATCTCACAAAACACCAAATGGGACTGAGAAACCGAGAACAGCCTAAGAACTGAATATAAACATTCTGACATGTCCTGATTCTGGATCATGCTTTGTATTCTTTTAGTCATTGTCTTTGTTATAACAGTTATTTGTTCAAAATAATCAAGATTTTAGATCCGGTTGTGGGTGAAAGTTAGGTTTTTTTTAGTAATACTTTTAAGACTTATTAGTAAGCCAGCCCTGGTATGCGCAATAAGTAATCAAGAATAAAGCTATTCAGTCTTTCTGATTTTATTCCCAAAATATACTTAGAATAGAATAGAATAGAATAGAATTCTTTACTGGCCAAGTGTGATTGGACACACAAGGAATTTGTATTTGGTGTATATGCTCTCAGTGTACATAAGGAGAATAAAATACATTCAGCAAGAATAAAAAGATACAACACTTAAGTGATAGTCAAGGTTACTAATAAGCAATCAAATCGTACTAGGAAACAAATAAAAACAATATAAATTGAAAGATACAAACAATATGGTTATAGTAATAAGTGGGAAGAGATAGATACTAGTAAGGAAGAGAAGAATAATAGTAATACAGTCTTTAGTAAATTGTTGTGGGAATTAGTTGTTAAGCAGAGTGATGGCATTCGGGGAAAAACTGTCCTTGTGTCTAGTTGTTCTGGTGTGCAATGCCCTATAGCGTCGTTTTGAGGGTAGAAGTTGAAACAATTTATGTCCAGGATGTGAGGGGTCTGTAGATATTTTCACAGCCCTCTTTTTGACTCCTGCAGTATACAGAATATACAGAACCTCAGTGGAAGGCAGGTTGGTAGCAATCGGATTTTCTGCATTTCAAATTGTCCATTGAAATCTGTGTCTGTCTTGTTTAGTTGCAGAGCCAAACTAGACAGTTATGGAGGTGCAGATGACAGACTCAATAATTCCTCTGTAGACCTGTATTAGCAGCCTTTTGGGCAGTTTGAGCTTTCTGAGTTGGCACAGAAAGAATATTCTTTGTTGTGCTTTTTTGATGAAGTTTTTGATGTTAGGTGTCCATTTTAAGTCTTGAGATATGATAGAACCTAGAAACTTGAAGGACTTTACTGGTGATACTGTGTTGTCTAGTATTGTAAGAGGTGGTAGTATAGGAGGTTTTTTAGGATGAATGAGAATACGAACAGAGCTTCTATCTGCAATTCTTTAAAGCAGCTCAGTCTTTAGAGTCATGCTGCAACCATTGTAAAAGCTTGTAAAAACCAGAGGCTACATTTTCATTCCTTCATGCTCTGAAGCACTTTTCTGAAATTGAATCCACAATATTCCATATCCCTAATAGATAGGACCAGCAGCCGGGCAAGTAATAAAGAAGGAGAAAAAAAATATGCCTTTACCTTTTAGAAATAGTGCAAACCACTACATATTTTCATGGATTTGTTAGCATTTAATGGGGCCACAAGTCATTAAAATATACATTGATGTCTACAAAATGGTCATATATTAAATGTATACCTAGTAGACTTTCTATTGAAATAACTTTCTAGCAGTAAACCAGGCAGAGGACACAATAAATAAACATTATGAGGATCATTAAATTTTGTGATTATGGATTTGTATATTCCAGAGGAAATAATACCTGTTTTTTCCGTCTTCTTTATTTAGCAACTATGTGAGGGAATATTGCAAGTATTAAGCAAAGATATAAACACATCCTATAGAGTCACTTGTCTAGAAGCTCTTCGCATTCTCTCAAGAGACAAGAAAGTCTTAGTTCCTGTAACAACAAAGACCAACATGCAAACCTTGATGAAGCTAGCAAAGCTGGATACTTTGGAAGATAATTTGGAGGATGTGACTGATTTTCCTGTCATAGTGGAAGCTTTAAAATGCCTTTGCAACATTGTTTTTAATAGCCCAGCTGCCCAGAAACTCAGCTTAGAACTGAACTTGGCAGCTATGCTTTGCAATCTTCTGAGAAAGTGCAAGGACCAGCAATTTGTGGAAGACATTAAGTGCTTTGATCTACGACTCCTCTTCCTCCTTTCCCTCCTGCACACAGATATCAGATCCCAGTTGCGCAATGACCTCCAGGGATTGCCCCTGTTGACTCAAGCCTTGGAAAGTGCATTTAGCATAACCTGGACAGATAAGTACATCACAGCTGAAGACCAAGAAATGTCACCATTGTCTCTTCAAGAAACGGATTGTGCCATTGAAGCACTGAAAGCTCTCTTTAACGTTACTCTTGACAGCTGGAATGTGCACAGTGAGGTAAGGCTTGAATTGAGATCATTCCGATCGTATTTATTTCTGTTTGTAGATTTCTGAATTGATGTTTATGGATGAAATTATGTACAGCCCAAAGATGCAGGCAGGCCAACAGACAGTAAGTTTATCCAGAACAAACTACAGGTAGTCCTTGACCTACAACAGTTCATTTAGTGACCGTTGAAAGTTACAATGGCATTGAAAAAAGTGACTTACGACGGTTTTTTACACTTACGACCATTACAGCATCTCCGTGGTCATGTTATCAAAATTTGGGTGCTTAGTGACTGTCTCACATTTATGATGGTTGCAGTGTCCTGGGCCAGTGGTGGGTTTCAATTTTTTTTACTACCGGTTCTGTGGGTGTGGCTTGGTGGGCATGGCAGGGGAAGGATACTGTAAAATCTCCATTCCCACCCCACTCCAGGGGAAGGATATTGTAAAATCTCCATTCCCTCCCCAATCCAGGGGAAGGTTACTGTAAAATCCCCATTTCCTCCTGATCAGCTGGGACTCGGGAGGCAGAGAATAGATGGGGGCGGGGCCAGTCAGAATTTTTACTATCGGTTCTCCGAACTACTCAAAATTTCCACTACCGGTTCTCCAGAACCTGCTGAAACCCACCTCTGCCTGGGGCCATGGGAACAGCTTTTGCAATTTTCTGACAAGCAAAGTCAATGGGGAAGCCAGTTTCACTTAACAACCGTGTTAATAACTTAACAACTGTAATGATTCACTTAACAATTGTGGCTAGAAAGGTCATAAAAGGGGGCAAAACTCACTTAACAACATAAATTTTTGGTTTGATTATGGTCATAAATCGAGAACTACCTGCATATAAAATACTCAGTTACTCATTCATTTCCAAGCGGCAGCAGTTTAGTTCCACAATAAAACATTATCTCAACCAATAATGGAATACCAAAGGCTATATTTTCTCTCTATTGCACTGGCTTGCAACTAGCATAGACAAGAAGTACCGAACTACTAATGGAAAGAGTAGCTCTTTCCTTTACGTATTTATAAACATATCTAATAGGTATTCCCACAGCTCCTAGTTAAATATGTACATTTCTTTCATTGTATACATGCAAAAACCAAATTAGTTAGAAGAGCAAATTGTTGCAAAGGTAATTCATGTAAATTAATCTATAATAAAGAAATCTTAAATAAACAGATACATCGAGGTAAATATCAGTAGGTTAGCATTTCAGAGAAATATATTGTAATGTACAAGAAGGAGAAAAATAATTCTTAAACTAATAATTCTAGGTAGCACTTCTCCAGAATTTACATGTTTCCAATAAACTATTTGAATGCTACATTTTATTGGGTGCATTTTGACAACATTCTGCCATCATTAATGCACCAAAGGAGAAAAGTCAAAAGCCTACATAAGGAGAATGCAAGTGAAAATTATGATCTGAAATCATTTGTACATTGATGAATTGCAGTTTCCATCATTACCTTCATTCCTTATATTGAATGAGATTGCTGATATTGAAGTAAAGTATGTCTGAAACGCAGTAAGTTGACAGCTCTCAGTGTTATAGGAGAAGAAAAAAATGAATTGGAAAGCAGGGAGTAGAAATTCATTATGAGTATCAATCCAATGTCTTCATTGAGTGATGCATTTTTTTTAAAAAAAGTAACAGGTGTTCTATGTTTTGAATATCAGTTTTGGGTAATAGGACAAATAGGTTTCTTAAAATAGAGTTATCTTATTCTAATAAGCTGGCATCAAGGTGTTGGTGACCACCTTTAGAGCGCTCCATGGCTTAGGACCTGGGTACCTACGAGACCGTCTTCTGCCACTGAGAGCCTCCCACCGGCCAGTACGCTCCCACAGAGAGGGGCTCCTCAGGGTGCCGTGGGTCAAACAATGTCGATTGGCGGCCCCCAGGGGGAGAGCTTTCTCTGTGGGAGCACCTGCCCTCTGGAACAAGCACCCCCCGGAGATATGAAGGATTCCGGATTTACGTACTTTCCGCCGGGCCCTCAAGACTTTTTTATTTCCGGGCTGGCCTAACTTCTCCAATTGCTTAATTTTAATTTTAATTTTAAAAGCGGTATTTTAATTGTTGGGCCAAAATTGTTTAATATTTTTTTTTTAAGTGTTCTTAAATTTTTGTCTTCTGTGTGTTTACCTTTGGCTGTTCACCACCCTGAGTCCTTCGGGAGAAGGGCGGTATATAAATTTAAATAAATAAATAAATAATAGTAGTCTAAATATTCCATTATACTTTTAGAAAACGCCTTGCAGTTTCACTAAACACATACAGTTGTATACCAGAGGTTAGGCATCTCTGGTTAAATAGCACATTTCAGGGAAATCCTAAGTACTGATACAACCCCATCTTACTTCAAAATTAAACATTATGCAAATTTGAATGTGAGTCATTTATAGGTTCAGAATAAGACAATAATGAATATGATAGATGCAGAAGTCTTTTATAAATTTTTACTAAGTACTTTAATTGCAAGAGTGAAAACTAACACAAACGGAACTGTTGTGGCCTGTCAGCAGCCTGTGCAGCTAGTAGCTGATTCCGACAGCAAGGAGGCTGGTGTAGTGCTGCACCAGCAGCCTCTGCAGCTGGCACTCGAGTCAGACAATGAGGAGGCTGGAGAAATGTGGGGATTCAGCCAAGGCCTTCAGAACCTCCAGAAGCTTCCATGAGTGAAGAGGAAGAAGAGGAGGAGCCTCTTCTCGATGCACGGGCGCGCAGAGTTGCCAAAAGGCAGGAGTGGCTCCTCAGGAAGAGGTCTCCTTGAGAGTAAGGCTTGGGGCTAATTGGCCACTCCCTTAGCCTATTTAAGGATGGACGACGACTGAAGCAATTTGCAGGGAACAACGTAGTTCATTCTCCTTCGCGTCTGGATCTTAGTTCTTTTATCAGTGTCCTCCAAATTGCTTCTGGGCTTTCTGCCAATCCTAGTAAGATTATTTATTCTTTGGATTCTTGTAGGCTGTTAAGAAAGTTAATTAACAGCCTTTGTTTGAAAAAGACTGATTTAATATAGTAAACTAAGGTTTGTACAGACTTTGTGTGTGCTGCGTTCTTTGGGTCCGTAGCTGGGGCAGAACAGGAACTTAGAGAAAGAGAACAGAATGGAAAGAATAAAAAGTGCAAGGAAAAAGTAAAAGAAAAGACAATATATTAAGGAAAAAGAAACATGTGGCTTGCAATATTCCTAAGTACAAATAAATAATTGTTTAATGGTATATGGTTAAACAGATACTGTATCTCTTCATCCAATATTCCGTCTCTTTATAAGCAGATTCATAAAACATCAACTTTTCAAGTCGGGTATTGGCAAAAAGTCCATAAAGAGTTGCCAGAACAAATCTTATTTTAAGCTTGATCAAATAAACAAACTTTACATTTACTTCTAACAATTTCAATCTTTAATTCAATCAACTATTGTGGGATTTTATTTCTCTTCAATTTTTCTTTATCGCAATGCACACATTTTGTCAAGGCTTTAACCTCTTTTGCACATCCAATAAGAAAATATTTTGCTGATCATTCTTTCAGTTTATCATCTGTATTTCTCTCTTAATTTTTAAAACTTTGTATACTACTTTGTAATTACTTTGTATATTACTTTGTATAGCCAGTAAAGTGTCATTTTCCAAATCATTCTCTTGTCCTATCATTTGTAGTTCTACATTCTTTACTTTCTCTCTCATCAGATAAAATGCGTTCCACATCTGTCATTCTTTCATTAACATTCTGTAGACACAGTCTATCCATAGAAGCAGGCATCATTGTTGACAATGTTGATATTGTAGTTAATTTCTGGCTCCATTCTTCAAAGTTCTCTTTTGGTATAACATTTTATAAATCCCAGTATTAATATCAGGCTTGTATTTTCTTTCTTTGCTTGAAATCTTTAATGCCTCTAACGTCCAGTTTCTAAAATCACTTATCTTTTGTTGTGATTTCTAATTGTCAAGATAGGCAAAAATAAATCTGTTTCCCATGAAAAGTTTTGTTTTTATAGTTAATTCCAAAACCTTATAGTAAAACTCAATATTCCAAATTTCTCTGGACCCTTGTAATATTTTAGATCAAAATCTTACTTAGCTTTTTGCAGTACATTTCAAACTGTTTTTAAGTTCTTAAGCTTGTAATTAATTTTTCTTTTTTTTTTAGAGTTGAATATAAACTCACCCAAAAAAGACTTTTCAAACTTGTCATTTTAAGATAGTTAATGGGCCATTTTTGAAAAGAATTAGAAAGTGAAGTTTGCAGGTTTAGTGTGCTTGAAAAGGCTGTGCCACAGTCACGAGCAAGATGGCTAATGTCATCCTAATAATAATCCTCCCTTTGTCAGGAACAGCCATCCAAAGCACATGTGGGCAATCTCTCATCCTTTCCTTATCTGGAGAGATTGCAAGGAACCGGTCTCCTCATCAGTTCCTTGGTTTTTGCCTTACTTCATCTTCAGTTCACCATACCATTTCTGACATCTATGGTAAAGTGATGTTTCCAATTATTGCCTTACTAAAACATTCAGCCTCTTTTCAGCTTCAGTGTACAGCATCATCTTTGAATATCCAACTCTGTTAATTAACCAAATTTAAAGTTGAATAATGAGTTTTAGAATATCCTTTAAAAAGTGATATAGGGCAAGTAAGCAAGATATTTTGAAAAAAATATAAACTCCACATTTCAGATCCCATGATTATTTACATATTTATATTTTACTGTTTTTTAAAAAGGTCAGCAAGGTTGGTGCTGATCCGACTTAATCAGCTACTTAAACTCTTCATTCTGGACTAGTGTACCTTCTGAGTAGACTTCAAGGGCAGCCCCATATAAACATATTCCAATAATCCAATCAAAAGATAACTAAGGTATGAGTGACTGTGAATAGAAGCTTTTCATTCTTTCAGTTACAAAAATGCTCATTGGAATTGGAGTTGTGCAAAGGTCCTTCTGTAAGTCTCACAGTAAGCAAAAATAAATAAATACATAAATAAACAAAGAAACAATGCATTACTTGCTAAATTTTCAGAAAGTTGCTGCATCTAACTTTTTATCCTCTGGAAGTTGTATCAGGTTTTTATTCCCTCATAGATTCGTTGAAACATATGACTTGACCAGAAGGATGTTTTTGAAAAATAAAAGTTTTCTCGGTTCAGATTCTTGTACAAATCTTTTTCAGTAATCATTTAAGGATGGCTAGTTAGATTTTTTTTAAAGAGTAAACTGGAGTACCTGAACCAAATCTACAGATAGTGGCAGAGAAAGGTGTAGCCAGATCTGCAATTTTAATTCCAAAATTTGCTGAATAGTATTAGTCAGGGAACAGTTAGATTAAATGTGAAAAGTAGAGTTTACCAATTCCAAACTAGAAAAAATAGAGCCAAAAGGCTGGATTTTGGCATTGATAAGGATTGGTTACTTTATTTAAGTCTCATTTAATGTTGAAAAGAATGATGGACACAAGTGACATAATCCTGCATGAATAACAGTGCTGTGGAATAGGGCAGTTTATGGGATAGTGGAAGGCTGCTTGCTTTCATAAACATGTAGTTTAAAACAAGAATAATCCAAAGTATGTGCATGAAGAGCTTTCATATTGATAAGAATACCATAGTGTGATTGTCTTCTTTTAATGTCTTCTTTTCATGATTCTGAATTTTTGCTTCGGAGCCTTCATAATATAATATGTTCCTCTTCATAATTGGATTTATACAGAATGATTCCCATGAATTTCGTTATATGACTGCCATTCTGCGTCATTGCTTATTGACCCTGGGCCCTACTGAAGATAAAACTGAAGAATTACACAGGTTAGTGAAATTACAAATCCAGTTGTCCTTAAAATGATGTACTAGTTAGGTCTAGTGCTCAGCTATTATATCTAAATAATGATGTAAGTTAGTGTTTTTCATACATAGTGGAGACAGCTTCCATAAGTTTTCATATTATAATTAATATTACCGATCCTGAAATAATTGGGTCTCTTCTTAAAGTAGTCACTTAATTCCAGGGACTATACAAAATGAAAGCATGGCTGACCATCCGAACTTTTGTTGAAAACTGAATTAATGTAATGAGACCTTGCTTGCTTAATATTTATGTTTTACTCCAGTGGTAATATTGTTATGATACAGACTTGTCCAATAACTTCCAAGATATCATTTTTTTCTAAACATTTTAGAAAAGAATTGTCACTATTAACAATTTAAGGAATTTTTCTGTAAATTTCTAGTTTTAGATCTGTTAAAGCTAGCCACATACAAAAAGCCACCTGCAAAAATTTTCCAGTTTTTTGAAAGTAGGAAACTGCAGGATAGCTATTCAATTAATGAAATTTTAATACTAGATGAGTTTAGTAAAGGTAAAGATTCCCCTCGCACATATGTGCTAGTCGTTCCCGACTCTAGGGGCGGTGCTCATCTCTGTTTCAAAGCCGAAGAGCCAGCGCTGTCCGAAGACGTGTTCATGGTCATGTGGCCAGCATGACTAAATGCAAAAGGCGGACGGAACACTGTTACCTTCCCACCAAAGGTGGTCCCTATTTTTCTACTTGCATTTTTTACATGCTTTCGAACTGCTAGGTTGCAGAAGCTGGGACAAGTAACGGGAGCTCACCCCATTACGCAGCACTAGGGATTCGAACCGCTGAACTGCCGACCTTTCGATCAACAAGCTCAGTGTCTTAGCCACTGAGCCACCATGTCCCTATGAGTTTAGTAAACGAGTCCAAATACAATATCATTCCAGGGGGAGGTTGTTCCATTGGGCATGTGCCATGACAGACAAGGTATATCCTCAGAGTTCCGTAAGATGATCTAGAAGCAATCTGAAGTATATTTAGTCTGTGTGCGACAGGCAGAAAGCATTGGAGACTACTAATCTCATAAGCCCTGTGGCATGCGGGACTTTAAAAGTAACAGCCTGAATATTGAATTGCACCCAGAAACCTACTGGAAGCCAGCGCAGCTCTCATAGCAGTGCTGTTAAATGGATGTATCACAGTGTGCCCAAAACTGCATGTGCAGCCACATTCTGGAAAAATTGTATCTTCCAAATGCTTTTCATATAGAGTGCATTTTAGTGGTTGAACTGAGAAGTAAAGGCATTAATGAGTTGTGAGCAGCAGCTCCCATGCGTACAATTGGTGCACAAAATTAAGTTAAGCAAAGCTCCTTTTGATCATAGTTGCCAGGAGCCCCAAGAAATCCCAAGTTGGACATCCAAGTTAATGACGGAAAGTCCAGCTCCAAAGATCAGGTTCTGACCCACAGTCATTTTGTTTTAGGGTTCAGTTGGAAGGTTGAGTTAAAACTCATTCTTCCCCGTCCCGATTTTCATAACCTCCTATTACTGGGAAAGAATCTCAGTGGCATCTTTTGGATAAAACTGATTTAAGAAGCCATAATGATAGCTTATTTTCTCCAGCTTTTCTCTGAAACCCCTGTAAATCAAAAACTTCAAAATGAGCATATATTAAATCTTATTTTTTATATATCAGATACTTGATTCATTGTTTTTAAATTGCCACAGCAAAGGCTCTGTTTAAACAGTATTTCAAAATATATACTTTACTGCCACGCTTATTTATTGCTATTCTTCTAATGTAAATACCTGGGAGATAACCTAAACTTTTCATTGCATAGCTCTTCATTGTTTGGGAGAGCAATTGTGAAAGACAGGATATATATCCAGGTAAGAACTTGAGAAAAATCCCGTAGTGCCCAATTTTTTAGAATGAAGGTAGTTCAGTGAAACGGTGTACCTGAGTGACATAAAAATGTAGACTATTTGACAAAGACCTCAATATTCATAAGTTACTCAAAAATAAATTCAAATAATGCTTGTCTCACTATATACAAATCAATCAATCAGTCACTTCTTAGCTTTTTGGATAAGATTTAAGTATAATATAGGTTTAAGATCATGGAAAAAGCCTCTGCTTAGACCTTGGTAAATTGTTGAATATCAGAAAAGTGTGGACAGAGAAGAGTCGGAAGTTGTGGGAGCTTCATCACTGGAGGCTTTCAAGAAGAGATTGGACTGCCATTTGTCAGAAATGGTGTAGGGTCTCCTGCTTGGATGGGGTTGGGCTAGATGACCTACAAGGTCCCCTTCCAACTCTGTTAATCTGTTATCCATTCATTTGTTTTCTAGTTCCTTCTTGTAAAGTGATTCTTTCAAGTATGCCTGGAAAGTCATGAATTTAATTTTAAAGAACTGTGAATGGAGACTATAAAGTATATTCAGATATTACTTTTTAATGTAGTTCCTAAGAAAAATCTGAAGGAAGCTCTTTTTTAAATGTCTCTTAAGAATATAAATTTAAATTAATTTTTAAAAATGTAGAAAATTCCTCTTTATTAATTTAAATTTGTATTTATAGAGTCTTTTAAAAAGATTTTCCCTTCACTAATTAAGAATGAGTATAGTAAAGAGATTGTTTTGGTTCTGTGCATTCCATCACATAAAATAGCCAACTACGGACAATTTCAGTGAAGTAAGTTATGGTTAACACCATGTTTGCCCACTCTGAAGATTTTAATCACAGCTTTCGCTAGTGCTAAAGTGTTGTTTGCTTTCACGTTTGCATATCAGGAGGGGGCTGAGAGCCTGAGTAGGTGGATGTCATGTATCTGTGATTAATGATCTTTAGGAAGCTGAGAGAGAAAATAATATACGCAGCATTTCTACCCCCTGGAGAAGGAATGCAAACACTATTGTGCCGATCTGTGCATAGTCAGTGACTTCCTGGTAGGTGGAGAATTTCATACACTCCTCTGCCACAAATAAAACTGTCAGGTGGAGTGACAAAGTTCAGAAAGCCAGACTCCAGTTATTGAAAAGAATAACTTGAGCACAGTGATCCAGAAAATTAATTTGGTAGGTGTTTGAGAACACCATTGCTTCATAAGAAACCAGCAAAAAGGAGCTTTCTGTGGAAATGATCCAAGCTTCTTTTATTTTTCTGAATTAAAATCCTATTGTTCTTGACCAACTCTTGTTTTGCTTCAAGCAGATTATTTTGTGAAAAACAAAACTCAATGTGTTAAGCATTTCAATTTAAATTCGTCCTGCTTTAAGGGAGTTTTTAAAAAAGCAGTGGCGGAACAGAACAAAGTACAGTATTTGTAGACAGATATAACTACATCATAGTAAAATTCTTCTTTTAAGTGAAATAAGGGATCCAAATACACCAGTCTATAACTCTTTAACTAATATTTGAACATAACAATATTATTGTATTTTAAGGTAAATCGGTTTAGACTTAGAGAAAAAGTTAATGGACCAAATGACTTGGGGGGGGGGGGAAATGTAATATAAAATGCAAATGCTTGTTTGCAGTATTGTGAAACTGCTAACCAGCAGTAACTTTCCAGATAGTAACTTACAGTATACATAACGTACATCATAATAATATACAGTGTAAACATAATATAAAACAAAAGAAAATTTTAAAAATGCATTATTATTATTATTATTATTATTATTATTATTAGTTTGATTTTTATGCCACCCTTCTCCGGAGACTCAGGGTGGCTTACAATGCATTAAGCAATAGCCTTCATACTTTTGTATATACTTGCTTAGTAGGGCTTTTTGGCCCCCCTAAGCGGTGTTCTATTTTGTACAAAGTCAGCTTATTGCCCTCACAAACGGGTCCTCATTTTATCTACCTCGAAAGGATGGAAGGCTGAGTCAACCTTGAGCCTGGTGGGAATTGAACTCGCAATAATTGCAGGCAGCTGGCAGCTAAGTGCTACTTTAACAGCAGCAGTTTAGTCTGCTGCGCCACCAGGCTCCTTATATGATAAATATATGATAAGCAGGTTAAAACAAAAACAAGAAGAACTATCGTGATTTATAGCTATGACTGATAAAATCTCACTTAAATCAGCAGTTCCAAAAATGCCTGTTAAAATAAAATGGTCCTTGCCTCCTGTTAGAAGACCCTAATGTTGGTGTCAAATATACCCTTCTGGAGTGTTCCAGAAATGGGCTGCTGGTGTTGAAAATGCCATTGTCTTTATTTCATCTTACCTTGTAGGATTGGAGAACCTGGAGGATGACGGTCTTTAATGAAGGTCTCAGTGTAGAACAGTTTCTCAACCTTAGCAACTCTAAGATGTGTGGACTTCAACTCCCAGAATTCCCCAGCCTGCATGTTGGCTGGGGAATTCTGGGAGTTGAAATCTACACTTCAAATTGCCAAGTTTGAGTAACACTGGTTTTTAGAACAATATGAGCCTCAAACCTTTAGGACTTTATCATTTAAATTTGGCCCAGAAGTGTACTAGCAATCAGGACACATGAGAAAGCACAGGCATAATATTTCGTCAGCTTTTGAACTAGATTCCAAGGCAACTCCATATATAGTGCATTGCAATAATCTAAGTGGAAAGTTACGAGAATTCCTTTGTTGAGTGGTGTGGCGGATTGGAGTCGATGTTTACTTATATGCCACAGAGAATATAAAAACTATGATGTGATCAGGCAGCTGCTTTTTCCATGACCATCTTTCAATCTGAATCATGGATGACAGAAGAAACACGCTAGCAGAAGCACAATTTGCACACTGCTTCTAGGCAGCATTGTGACATGTGGGTAAGCGTTTGCTTGCATGCTTCTGTACTCTTCCCTAAAAGTAACAGAATTCGTAGCCAAGACACTTCTGGGTTTTGATTCCATATTGCATCCTGAAAATGCAATACAGCTGTTTAGTGAATTACTGAAAATATCAATTAGAAATGTTTATAAAACAGTAACTTGTGGTATTGAGGTGCATTAGTTGTTCCGTAAAATTATAACGATGTTATAATCCATGCTGTTAACACCCGTTTTTCAAGGGCTTCATTCCCATATTATGCACAAAAGCATTTTAAGAGAGTGATTTTTAAAATTCCTTTCAGCAATGCGATCAACCTGTTAAGCAACGTTCCAGTCTCTTGCTTGGATGTCCTTATCAGTCCCTCAACTCAAGAAGAGGCAAAGGAAACTGATGTGAAATACAATGGCATGAATATGGATGCTATTCAGGTGCTTTTGAAGTTCATGGAGAAGAGAATTGACAAGGTAAGAATATTTGAAATTGGCAGCCTTGTTCCATTGTTTGCATCATAATGCTGCTGGAACTTTGTGTAGCATTATAGAATGCTTCTTAACCAAAATAGGCCTTGTGTACAAACCCCCAAGTTTTAGATCTTTGAAAACAAATCAAGATTGTAACATGGCCATAAGAAATACACGATCATGGAACAATTTGAATATTCATCTGAATACCCAAACATGAACTAAAAGTCTGACTCAGCATTGCATGTAGAGAATAAAAGTTCACCTGGTTTATTCAGATTCTTTGGGAAGTGCAAAATATAAAATAATTTCCTGCTTATCTTCGCTTTATTTATTTTCAGTAAAAAGTATTGATTGACACACTACTTAATACTCTGCTCAGAAATGCAATATAGACTAATTTATGCGTTGCAATCAGGGGAATGTTATGGATGTTCCTGTATTTGGAAAAACATCACGAATGTATATTGGGGGACCTTGTTTAGTCATAGCTGCTTGCGTGTATCCTGTGAGTGTCCAAATACAGATATTTTTAATATTTTTTTAAAATATGATTTTACATTTAAAACTGTTTTGAATGAACTACCATGGAAAAGGTGGCCTTATCTACTAGAATAAGAGTTTTGTGTGCCATAACGTTTGAGTTGTGTTTTTGGAAAAATGTTGCTAAATTCTTTATTCTTTAGGGGAGCAGCTATAGGGAAGGCCTCACTCCAGTGCTCAGTTTACTAACAAGATGCTGCCGGTCCCATCGGAACATTAGGAAGTTTATTAAAGCTCAGGTGAGTCATGGGTGTATCCAAGGACTAAAATGTAGTGGAATCTCTTGTCCTGAATATGCATAAATGTTAGTTTCTATTCCTTCAAGAATCTGATCCTTCTTCAGTATTTTTTTTTTTTTTTTGCACTGGATGTGTAGGGCAACACAAAGCTGAATAAGGAATAAATAAATGAATGAACTGCACAACGTATATGTTTTCTTAAAAGTTAATATGAATTTTGTTCAGTAGAACTTCTTTACAACTTAGGCAGCCTAAAATAACTATTTAGAAGAAATGGAAAATGATATACAGGTAGACCTCATTTAACAATGCTAAATAGGATTGGAAATGTTAAAAAAAAAATCATGTGAGTATGCTGTTTAGCAATGGCAATCCCAGTTGTTGATGTTAAGTGAAGACTGTGTGATCGCTGTTTCCAGTTTCCAGTTTCCCAATTGATTTTGTTTGTAAGAAGCCAGGAGGGAAAGTCATGAATCATGATCAGGTGCTGAATGCCTGAATCATGATCCCATGATCTCAGGGATACTATGATGGCTGTAAGTACAAGATCCATTCCTAACTACCATTCATTCAGCACCAAGTGTCAAGTGTCAAGTGCCAGAGAAATCAGGAGATCCAGGCAGTTCAAATGCTTATAAAGATTTATTGCAACCTTAAACTCTCTACAAGAATCTGAACTACTAATAGTCAAAACAATTTGGTGTACCAGTAGATAAGAGTCAAAGGAATTCAAGATGGGATGGACTTAGATCTCTTTGTGGGTGTGAAAAGATTTATGACTGATGACGTGTTTGACCCCTCCCTCAGGCTCAGCCTGATCATCTCCTACACATATTAAGTTTGAATGTTTACTGAATGAATGATTATTAAATGAAAAGAACCTGTGCATTCACAAGATAATGACAGCAGGTGTTAAAATTGCTGAATCATCAAAATAGCCTTTTTTTATTAAGATTATGATGTTCATCTCCAGATGTTTTCATTTAAGGCTGCAGAATGATACAGTGTTAGACCATTCCAAGGAAGGAAGCATTACATTACCCCGAGTCCATAACAAAACCCCTTTTGTTGTTTCTCCTAGACATCTAAGTTCTGATTGCTTAGAAAAACAATAAAATGTGCTTGTATTTTAGAATGAAACGGGGTGTAAATGTAACATTTATAAGAAGCAACAAGCATACTTAAATAGTGGCATGTGATACATGGTTCCAAAAATGGAGAGTCACATTCTTTTTTAGAACAGAATATTTCATGACCTTCTTTTCTCTCACCCCATCAAGGATAAGCCCCTCATAGCAATTTTTATATCATTAAGATTTAGGAGTGATGCATCAAATCCTAAATCTACAGAAAATGTTCTAACTTTGAAAAGTATTTCGGGAGAAGAAATCCTAAAACCAATCTTTAATGATAACCTAACCTGCAGTTTCTAATTCAAAATTTACATTGGGTCATTGGGAAAAGTAATAAAGCTGAGTATTATTGGTGTATTACTGTACTATTAGTTGCATTGCTTTGTTTTCCATTATCTTGCAAAATGATTGGATATAATCTTTACCAAAGCAGCCAATCACCACTCGCCTCTCAGGCCTTGCCACCAACCAATTGGATGCAGGGGCCAGAGGGAGATGGGCAAACAAGTGCAGTTTAATCCTCCTACTTTCTTTTGCGCTCGTGCAAATTGTTAAGGTAGCCAGAAAAAAAAAAGTGGAATTATTTTGAGGAATTCAAGGGAATAAGTGTGACAACACCTTGCACTGGGATTAATTCCTCTTCTTATCTTTCTCTGTCTTTAGGTGCTGCCTCCTTTGAGAGATGTTTCTAATCGTCCTGAAGTGGGCACAACACTGAGAAACAAATTAGTGCGTCTAATGACTCACGTTGATCTGGGAGTGAAGCAAATTGCTGCAGAATTCCTTTTTGTTCTTTGTAAAGAGAGAGGTACAGAGGTTTTTTACTAGAGCATAAGGGTGGTTGTAGCATATGTGCAACTAACTACAGAGAGTCCTCAGTTAATGACCATAATTGGAACTGGGAACTCTGTCACTAAGCAATGCAAGCATAAAGGGGGGAAAAAAATCACATGACCATTCTGACTTACAACAGCAGTTCTAGTTGCAACAATTAAGCCTTGCTCCAACGCGTTTCCTTTGCTTGTTGGAAACTGGCAGTAAAGATCGCAAATGGTGATCATGTGACCACGGGACTCTGCAACCAATGTAATTGTTCGCCAATTGTCAAGCAGCTGAATCATGATTGCAGGAACATTGTGATGGCTGCAATTTCAAGGACTAGCTATACGTCTCCTCATAACTTCAAATAGTTTCTGAACAAGTGTTCACTAAATGAGGATCAGCTATAATCACTTGCTGAACTGGCTATTTGTTGCCAAATAGTATTGAAAGATGTATTTTACAGATGTGACAATCAACAGCAATTTATAAAATGCACAGAGGCATTTTAATTTTTATGGCAACTAGTCTATTGTTTCTCTCTCTAGAAATATCTTAGGCCAGATTAAACTGAAGACAAATAGAAGTTATTAAATTTAGGCTTAGCCTTTTCTCAGCCATAAAGTCTTAACTAGTGAGTACAGGATATAAAGTCGCATGTAGAAACCTTTCTTTTAAACTGACCTGTTAGAACCCCAATCTAAAATATGAATACGGCTTTCAGTAAGCGTCTGCATTCTGCTTTATTAGGTTCGCCTCCTGCTGTTTGGAAAGTCCTCCTCTCGCTTAACCAAACATAAGTTGAAGAACTCTTCAGATTTGCCACTCAGCTACTTTGGTTGAAGTGACCCCACACTGTTATGTGATCCTTAGAGAAGTGTGTATATATGTATGCCTGTATGTATATAAGTATGTCTGCATGTGTCTCAGTTGGATTTGATGCCCAAAGAGGGATTTTTCTGAAATTCCAATCCCAAAATGAAAAGGAAAAAATATTAATCTTATTCTATCTTTGATCCTTTCCAACAAATTGCTTCCGGTTGCTTTGCAGTTGACAGCTTGTTGAAGTACACTGGATATGGCAATGCAGCAGGCCTGCTGGCTGCCAGGGGCCTCTTAGCTGGAGGAAGAGGAGAAACCTGGTACTCAGATGATGAAGATACAGACACGGAGGAATATAAATCTGCAAAGCCAAAGTACGGCATGGCTCGAATTCTGCCTTCCTTCCCTTTACCTAGGAGGATCTTTTTTCAAACTTGGCAACTTTAGGATGTGTGAACTTCAGCTCTAAAAATTTCCCAGCCAGTATATCTTAAAGTTGCCAAGTTTAAAAAACACTGACCTATATCATTTCTGTCCCCTCCCCCCACAACTCCATGTTTGTCAGAGAACCGGCCACTGACTTTTGGAACTGGGTCTCCTTATACAGGTAGTAAAAGAAAGACTAGGGGTGACATGACAGCAGTATCCCAATATCTAAGGGGCTGCCACAAAGAAGAGGGAGTCAACGCATTCTCCAAAGCACCTGGAGGCAGGACAAAAAGCAATGGATAGAAACCAATCAAGGAGAGAAGCTACCTAGAATTAAGGATAAATTTCCTAACAGTGAGGACAATTAATCAGCGTTAACGATTTGCCTCCAGAAGTTGTTGGTGCTCAAACACTGGAGCTTTTGAAAAAAGAGATTGGACAGCCATTTGTCTGAAATGGTGTAAGGTTTCCTGCTTTGAGCATGGGATTGGGCTAGAAGACCTCCAAGGTCCCTTCCACCTCTTTTATTCTGGTAACAGCAATAATTGGTACTGGAATTTTTGTTGCTAAGCAATGTGCTCATAAAGTACAATGTCACGTCACCACATTGCTCAACAACAGCAATCCTGGCAGTTCCCATTGCCATTATTAGCCAAATCCTACCGATCATTAGGTGTGGACCCACCCCAGTCCAAGTCATCCACACCTGGGTCCTTCCAAACTCTGCCTCCTCTTCAGCTCCCCCCACTTGCCAATCTCCCCTTCCATCTTTGACCTTTTGGTTGCCAACCTGCTGCAGCTGCCAGTTGCCCCTAACACCCAACCTTGTCCATTGCTCCTCCATTGCACCACATTTCCCTACTGTAGCAGTAAGGGCCTTCTTTCATGCCACTTTCTTTTGTGCAGCTGGGGTTTCTCTCATGCTCCATCCAAGGCCTCCATGCGCCAGCCAGGGCACCATTTACACCTTGCTGAGGGTCTTCTTTTGCAAGACTGGTGCATGAAAAAAGACCCCGACTGTGCCAGCACAAAAGAAGAACACAGCTAGAAGAGTTCTTCTTTCGCACTGGTGCAGCCAAAGCCTTCTTTCGCACATCGGGCTTCTTTTGTGGAAAAAAGGCCTTGGCTGGGACATGAATGGAGGCCCTGGACAAAGTACTAGAGAGGCCCTGCTGCACCAGTGCAACAGAGGCACATTTGTTCATGTGACTGTGGGGGCCAGCAACAGCCGGAAATTTGAGGGCCAATCATAAATCCATGTATCAGCTTCATAATTTTGAACAGTCGCTGAACAGAATGGATGTTAAGCGAGGTCTACTTATATAAGTAATGGGTTGTAGCTAACTTTGAGCAGAATCAGTTTGAGATGTTAAGGTTGGGAGAAGTCATAACACTTAAATTAATGTGCAGTTTTGAGAACTAAAGTTTCTGGAAGGCAGTTGGGGGGCTGTATTTTGTGATAAACTCAGATTTCCAGTTTTAGTTTAAAACTCGTGGAACAGTGTTTTTGAAAAATCTTCTTGAAGATTTATTTTAACTTGTTCTTTTCTCTTTTCCTACTTCCCAAAGCATTAACTTAATTACAGGTCATTTAGAAGAGCCAATGCCTAACCCAATGGATGAAATGACTGAGGAACAAAAGGAATATGAAGCAATGAAACTGGTCAATATGTTTGATAAGCTTTCTAGGTATTGTATCTCTTTCCATGTTAATTTCTTTATCCTTCATACAATTTCATCGTCATTAAAAATTTTACTACGTTTTAGTTATATGTTGCCAAGAGAAGGGAACAGCTTGATGTGTAAGGAGAGAATATTGCAAAGATTTCCTAATAAAAACACCATGATTACTTCCAGATTATTAATTCTCTTAAAATGTTTAGTTGGTACTGATATATTTCATAGATCCGGGAATGGTTTACTTCTGGTTTTGTGTAGATGGGCAACATTTAGTTCCTAACTACTCTGCACAATACAAGATTTAAATTGATCAGAAATGAAATAAGTCAGCCGAAACTCATTCTAGTTTTAGTTATTTCATGTTTTGAGGATGGGATCGCCAAATAAGATTAACCCCAAGAAACATATTATTTATGCATAGTGCAGGTAAGAGTCTTTCACTCTTTCCCAGCTTGCAAATCCAGACACTTCAGTTCCTTCCAGCTATGCTCTTTAGAATCACGTTTCTTTCTCATTCTTTTGTGTTTGGTGCATGTTCTGTCTCTCAGGCTGTACCTTCCCTGCAGTGCTGAAGACTTGAATTTTGTTCCAGTCTCTGTTTTTGTGATGCTACTTGTTTGGTCAGCAGTTTAGCACTATCCAAGATCATGTGTGTATTGCCACTAGGGAATATAAATTTATAGCATGTAACTTTTATCTGGTCCTTTATTTCTTTGTTTTTGTTATATCTTTCTCATGCTTAGTTTTGCTGTAATTAAACAACAGATAATGCACCCCCAGTGTATAATTCACATTGCTAGTCATTAATTCTAAAATTGTTTTCGATACTATAAAGAGGCTCGTAGAAGAAGAGAAACCAGTTTAAGAATAAAGATGAGAAAATAAGCCAGTTTCAACTTGTAAAAGGAGGATGGGACAATGATAGAATTCAAATTTTATCTTAGTTAGGATTGGACTATTCCTTTTAAGTAGTTCTACCTCCCATTTTTTTAATGCAAATAATAATAATTGGGCCTATGGCAGATTTGGAATTTTCAGAACATGTCATTGGTAACTTTACAAATTAATTGTCATAGAACTCACAAAACATTTAAGAGAAAGCAAACGATATAAAGGTCTCCATATTCTTCTAATCTTTGTAATGATTCAGATGATTTTGATACTTTTCCTGGACTGAGGTCCCAGTCCTAACAAAGCATTGGATTGCAGTCATCTATAATTTTTAGGACTGTATGAATTATTTATAGAAGTGCTTCAATTCCAGTAGGAGGCATGCATGCAGATCTGGGAAGTTCTCAAAATGGCTGCACCAAAGCTTTACCACAATACTTTTGTGAGTGTTATTAAAGCACTATTCCAAATGATGCACACATTATTTCATTTTCTAGGAATATCTCTTACACTCAGGTAGGGCCCAAAGACATCCTTGGAAATAAAAGATAATGCTAGAAGCTGGCTGTGTTTAGCAGCCTGGTAACAACCCATTTGTTTATCTTAAGATTCTGAAAAAAGTCAAAATCAGGTGGGGCATTGATCCTTGTGGGCATCAGAAAAAAGTATCTTTGGGTATACTGAAACACATTGGAGATCTAGGCATTGAGTTGGGTAACTGGTTCTACTGACTTTTTTTGGCAGAATTAATCATTTTAGGTGAGCCATGCTGCTGCTACAAAGTGTTAAAAAGAAACACAGCCTCAGATGAGAATTGATTTTAAAAGCCAAGCATTCCAGAGTATACCTCTGTGAACATGAATATTTCAGGGGGTCTCAGAGGCTGAGCCCCTCAATATCTCAGGGGCTGCCACAAAGAAGAAGGAGTCAAGCTATTCTCCAAAGTACCTGAGGGTACGACAAGAAGCTATGGATGGAAACTAATCAAGGAGAGAAGCAACCTAGAACTAAGGGAAAAATTTCCTGACAATTATAACAATTAATCAGTGGAACAACTTGCCTGCAGAACTTGTGAATGCTCCAACATTGCAAGGTTTAAGAAGATGTTGGATAACCATTTGTCTGAAGTGGTGTAGGGTTTCCTGCCTAAGCAGGGGGTTGGACTAGAAGACCTCCAAGGTCCCTTCCAACTCTGTTACTCTATTCTATTTCTAAATATTTGGCACCACATTTCTACTTTTCTCTTAGCAAGATTCCATTCACATGCTGTGTGATTTGGACATTTCAACAAAATTCAGGAGAGATCTCATTGTACTTCAAGACATAGCCCGAGATATTTTTAAAATGATGTGGTCTTTGATACCGCTTTCTGATTAGAAGTGTAATAGTGATCAGCTGAATCTTAATTTCAGACCAGTTGCTATCTAGTATAACATGAATGTTGTGATGTGCATGCAGCTCTTTGTCTATTTTGTGTGCTTGGAAGTTTTTAGTGTTAATTAAAATGCTTTTTAAAATATTTTCTTGCTATTATAAACTGGTGGCACAACTATGAATTCATTGAGTAATTATGATGCCACGGTGCTTTTTCCAAGCCAACCCTGTATTAATAGTAGGAATCCTTTTGCTGATGAAACAGTCCCCAATTATCATAGTTTGGGTTTTGTTGTACATCGACAAGAAATCAGTAAAACAAGGACGTAACCCAAACCAGCCTAAGTAGCAGCCTTGCTCATTAAAAATGCAGAATTAATCACAGTGGTGTCTTTAAAAAACAGTGCCTCTGTCAGGTTTTCTCTCCTTTTCTAATTGTGGAACAAAATAGTGTATATAAAAGGGTCAGCACTATTATGCAGACTCAATTATAGAGAGGTGAATGGATTTCCCAAAACACTATTTTATCAAAGGAACAGGCCCAATGTTTGCAATACGTTTGCTTTATTATGGGCAACTATCATTAGTTCCATGTGTTAATAACTGGCCATTGTGCACAGAGCAGGCAAGAAAGACCCTTGAAAATAAGGCAGTGGTTTCGGAGATGACCAACTAAATGGCAAGCAGAAAGCAGAAACAAACATTCTATAGATAAATTTGAAGAGTTAGTGAAAGATTTGGAGGTGAGGAAGAAGAATGTCTTTTTATTAAACGTTTCATTTTGTCACGTTTGCCAACAAATAGTACTGAATATATCCTTTTTTATTTGAAAGGAAATGCAGTCTTGGAAGTTAGCCAGTCCTAATTACTCAACCACATTCAAAACAATATATTTATCTACATATGTGTCCACTTGGAATACAATTCTAGAAGGTGCTGCTTATTGCAAGCTAAGAAGAAGAATGTTTAGGGCAGGGATGTCAAACTTGCGGTGTCATGTCATCACGTGACATACCGTGACTTTTTTCCCCTTTCGCTAAAACGGGAGTGGGCATGGCCAGCACGTGACGTATCTGGCCCATGGGCCGAAAGTTTGACACCACTGCTTTAGGGTGATCCTTTTTTATTGTAGGTGGCCCTCAACTTACAAGAGTTTGTTTAGTGACTATTCAAATTTACAATGGCACCTGTGTGACTGTTTTTCACACTTATGATTGTTGCAGCTTCCCCGAGGTCACCTGATCAAAATTCGGACGCTTGGCAACTGGTTCACATTCTTGATGATTGCAGGGTCCTGGGATCATGTGATCCCCTTTTGCCACTTTCTGACAAAGTCAATAGGGAAGACAGATTTACTCAACAGTCATATTACTAACTTAACAACTGCAGCGATTCGCTTTGCAAATGGGGCAACAAAAGTTGTAAAATGTCTTGCTTAACGATAGAAATTTTGAACTCAATTGTAGTCATAAGTAGAGGACTACATGTATTCCTCTGTGGCAGGGGTGAAATGCTCCCGTTTTGGACCAGATCACCCAATCCGGTAGTGATGGCGGCGGGTGGTTGGGAGCACCAGTAGCAAAAATCCCTGCACCACCCCCCCACCATGCCCAGCTGAGCCGCACAATCATCAGAGGCTTTTTTTTTTTTACTTTTAAAAGCATTTTTTCTACAACCTCTTCGGAAGAAAAAATGTTTTAAAAAGTAAAAAAAAAAAAAAGCCTCCTGCTCTCCCGCCGCAGAGGTTGGATCGTCAGAGGCTTTTCAAAGCATTTTTTCCTGCAACCTCTTCAGCCAAAGAGGTGGTTTAAAAAATGCTTTGAAAAGTCTCTGATGATCCCAGCTGAGCTGCCTGATCGTCAGAGAGGCTTTTCAAAGCATTTTTTAAAAAGCCTCGAACCCAGCTGAGTTGCCTGATCGGCAGAGGCTTTTCAAAACATTTTTTTGCAACCTCTTCAGCCGAAGAGGTTGTAGAAAAAATGCTTTGAAATTTTTTTTAAAAAAAGTTGGCCACACCCACCCAGTCACATTACCCCCCCAACCAAGACACGCCCACAGAACCGGTAGTAACAAATTTTACATTTCACCTCTGCTCTGTGGGTGTCTAGAAGAGGCATTGAGACTTTGAAGATAACTTTCAGTGCCCTGTACTAAATGTTTAGACATCAGCAACTCTAGGCATTTGGAAGGTACAAACAAGGATACGGAGTATTTAACACATATGTTAAATTACTGTATCATAAGTTTCCTCTACTAACCCCTTGTTGTGTTAGCAGAAGAGTTGGTTTTACTGAAGTTAGGGCTAATCATTGTAATCTCGAAGCTGCTGCTGTAACATTTTTCATTTACTGCACTCCCATGACAGCTACTTCTGAGTTAAGCTCCAATCAGTCTAATTAACATGCTCCGAGGTGATTGTATTCTAGGGAATACAGCTCCCAATTTTTTTCCAGCCAACAGGCTACCTGGGAATTCTAACAGCTGTAGCCCCAACACATCTGCCTGTGCTAGGTTGGGTTGAATGGCCACATCGGGGGGGGGGGGATGTTGTGCGCATCACCTGATTTCAGATCTATTTCTGATGAATTAGGGGAATGTCAATGACGGTTGTGCACAGAGATATTTCGCTGCTGTTAGGTTCTAATGCCCAGGTGAGCTTTCTTAAGATAAGGACGATGGGAAGGATGGTACACTGCGATGTCCTTGTTTGTCGATTTATAGCTGTGAAAATATGGAGAAAAGTTTTTTCAGAAGATCAGAATGTAACTGTCCGGACGGCCTTTGCCATAATCCACAAATATTAAATAAGATTATGAAGAGCTTAAATAAATCTGTGCTAATACTGTTTGATTGGCTTCATCAATAATTAATCATCTTGATAGGAGGCTGTAGCTTGTGGGGTAGATATAATTGGATTAACGGTGAGAGGCCCCGGGTGCTTCTGAAGAGATTAAAACGGCTGTCAATCGTATAATTAAACAGCTGCAAACAAAAGCAACAGTATTTTTTTAAAGGGAGTGGGAGAGAGAGAAAAAAATCTGGCTGCATCTCAGTGAATGCTCTAGTACTTAAGCTCCACTAGAAGCAGGTTTGATAGGACGAATCTCTTTTCTTGATTGATTTCTCATTCAGTGAAATTCATATGTATACAGTTGTGATTTTGAACTGGGAGAATTGACTACTCTCTGGCAGGTGGGACTTTAGCATGTTAGCGGAGATTAGGAATAAGCAAAGGCTGCCTTTTATTTACTTGTTTTTAAAAAAATTAATCAACAATAAATCTGCTCTTGGTTTTATTCCATTGGTAATTGATTTCTCTTTTCCAGAAGAGCCTTAATTGACTTAGTGCACATATGCTGTCTGAATGGAGTCTTTATTGATGTTTTTTCCTGCTTCCCCACTCAGCCAGCACCCATTTTTGGGGTAACCCCATTTATCTTCACATCCTTAAGGTCTAAATTCCTTCAAAACTTTAAACTGCCTTTTGGCATTATTCCCCTGCTCTTTTATTGATAGCATTTAGTGGCTCTGAAGATTTTAGTTTTTATACTCCATAAACATCTGGCTATCTCGTTTTTTTAATTATTATAATCCATTGAATTGCTGAGGTGAGCTGGAAGAAGCAGGTGGCAATTCCACATTGCACATTTTGTTCTCTAGGTAGTCCTCGACTTACAACAGTTCATTTAGTGACCATTCAAAGTTACAACAGTACTGAAGAAAGTGACTTATTACCGTTTTTCATACTTACGACAGTTGCAACATCCCCATGGTCACATGATCAAAATTCAGATGCTTTGCTACTGGTTCTTATTTATGAAAGTGATCATGTGATCACTTTTTGCAACCTTCTGACAAAGTCCATGGGGAAACCAGATTCACTTAACAACCATGTTACTAACTTAACAATTGCAGTGATTCACTTAATAACTGGCAAAAAAAGGTCATAAAATGAGGCAAAACTCACTTAGCAACATAGATTTTGGGCTCAACTGTGGTCGTAACATGAGGACTACCTGTATTTGTATGTATGCATATGTGAATAGACTAATCATGTTATTTGCCATTTTTAACTGTACGACAAGACAAAATCTGAATCTTTTTTCTTTTGATTTATATAGGGACAAAGTTATAACTCCCATGGGGGTCCGACCAGATGGCACCATGACGCCTTTGGAAGAAATAGTCTGTCAGCATCAAGCCAATGAGCATGAAACTTCAGATTCTGACTAAAATATCAGCTATTTCACATTCTTTCACTCATTTTCCTTTACGCGTGGCATTGTTCATTATCTGAATGTTAAAGCACTGTTGCAACTGTTTTATAAATCGAAATGTTTAAATTATAAATTATGTGGTGTACTTATTAGCATTTCTAAGATACCAGTTTATATAGCAACAAGAAATAACATTTATTAACGTCAAGGTAACTGTGTTTAATATAAGATGAAAAATGTGGTGTAGAATTGAAAAGATTACAATGTTGTTCTTTAGCTTTGAAATCAACCCTGTTAAGAGTAATTCATGCAATAGGAAAGTAGAAGGTGTTTTAAAGCCCTTCAAGCATAGCTTCTGTTTTTTTAAAAAAACAAATCAGTGTTTTTCACGTAATTATAATAGGTTTGTACTGCTTTTTATGTTTTAAAGGTACTCTATTTCCTTGTTTTGAGGACTGAAATAGAATATCTAGATTTTAAAATTACGTGAAATCTTTAAAATGATGATTAAACTATCACTTTAAAGAAACAGCTATCTATCAGATGCCTTTGATTTATTATTGGTTGTTTTCTTATTTCCTATTATTTTGCCCTTTATTTCCATTCCTGAGGGATGCTGAATTTTGATGAATCAATGTCTTTTTACCATTAAATTATATAAATGGATTCAGTGTTTTTATACAGGTAAAACTGCAGGTTCACACAGATCATTATTTTGTCCTCAAATCCAGTTCGGAAAACAGTTTTGTCCCCTATATTTGCAGGACAGCTGCTGAAATGGCTAGTTCATAAATTCAGTATGAACCTACACCAATCCTAGTACAGTCTCAACCCTGTCACTAGTTATGGGCTTGTTAATAATGGATAGCCACTCTTCAAAAAGTTATATAAAGTTTAAGACTAGGCCAATACTGTATTAAAAATTCCTTTTGGAAAAAAATATAGATACAATAAAAATTTTATAATATGAGGAAACAAGCAATTTGTCCCGAACTGTGTTAATGTCAGAACAATTTAGCTCTGTAACAAATATGAAAATATATTGCAATCTCTCAATAAAACTTTATATACAATGTAAGCATACGGTTCTACTGTGTTGTTCCCATTTCCTCGAATAGTATCTCATTAGGGAATGGTCATTTTTTCCACACTAAATTTAACCAGGTAGAATGTTTGAGTGATTTGTACCCTCTCCTTCTCCATTGTTAATGTAGGCTAAGAATATTCTTGTTGCCATCCCCCAGGGAGAATTTTGTAAAGTTCCTCCAGTACAGAGGTGTCAAACTCAAGGCCCAGGGACCAGATCCGCCCCGCAGGGTGCTTAGATCTGGCCCGCGGGGCCACCCTGGAAACAGCGAAGGACCAGCCTACGGTGCCTCTGCCAGCAAAAATGGAGCTCTGTTTTTGCTGGCAGAAGGTTGCATGAAGCCGTCACAGCCAAAACGGGAGCCCATTTTTACTGGCAGAGCACTCGGGCCACCACAGGTGCCCCCGACACGAGTGATGTCAAGCTGGCCACACCCACCCTGGCCCCCCAAGGTCAAACACCACCCTGATGTGGCCCTCAATGAAATCGAGTTTGATACCCCTGCTCCAGTAATACAGTAGCTCTCTAATAATATGATGATCCTTTCTATGATTTGATCACCAATCACAATTTTGCATAAAGATAACTATGTTCAGGATGTCTGTTCCAGGAATACAAATCCATCAACCAAATTTCAAATTGCATATACTATTTCTGATCTAGTTTTCTGTTTCCAATTTCAAGGTCTCCAATTGCCGAAATTCATTCAAACAAAGAATGCATTTGTAAGTTGGCCAAAGTTAGGAATAAAGACGAAAGGGTTGAGGATGACAGCTAGGCCTGTATTTCACAATCATGGCAACTTTAAGACATATGGACTTCAACTCCCAGAATCTTTCTTGGCAGGACTAATAAAATATAATTTCTTCAATGAGAGGCTGAAATTAGAATTTTTAAGATCGATTTTAATTTTGAAATTCTTTTATTCCTTTTCCTTATTATTTTTATTTAGTGTAGGTATTGTTCATCTAAAGACAATTCATGTAGCTTGACAAGAATTGTTATGTATTTTATTTAAATACAGTGGAATTATCTTTTTTTTTATTATTAGCATGATGTATACAATTGAAGCAGGTCCCTTTATCAAAGTACAATAGTATATTAATCTATCATTTGCTTAATTATTAATTACAATCAGAACAAGATTTTGGTTTTTGGATTCTAGAATCCAGAGATGGATATTAAACAGACATGAGCCGGAACACGTCCAATTTTTGAAATGTTTGGCAATATTGTAGTCTTCCCTGCAACCCAAATTGTGGCTAGAGAATATATACACTGCTTTATCTATTCAAGCCATTTATAGATCTTAAGGAGCATTATAGATCTCAGTAGCAATTAAATTATTTATTGCTGACATCCAAGCACAACTTCTGAATGATGTACAAATAGGGCTGTATAAAATTATCCCATTGATAGAGTATCTACCTTCAGGTATCTCAAATGTTACTCTGTAGCTAGAAGCTGATATAAATACATTGAAATGTTATCCTTTCACTCACTAAATTATTGGCTAAAAGCTGTTTTCCATTCCATTGGATTGGCCTAATTTTCTTTTATATTGTTATTAGAAAATGGAAAAGCTCCATTCTACATAAGCTGAACTACTGCAGTTACTTGCAAGATCCTACACCATGTCACGTGACGTCTTGCAACTTTTCCCCTTCGCTAAACCATCTGTGGGCATGGCCAGTGCGTGACACATCTGGCCCACGGGCCGTGAGTTTGACAGTCCTACGCTATCCTGAGGCCCTGACTGAACTAAGGCAAAGAATAATCAAGATAAAAAAAACAGGAAGATCAATTTTCTGTGACTTGAGTTGCTTAGCCTTGCAATTTCAGTCTAGATATATTTCAATAGAAATATCTAAATATAGACTAGCTGTGACAGTAGTATAATTTAATCTGTCTTGGAAGGGAATTATAATAAAGTTCTATATAATAAATAGCTTTGCCACTATTGAATGGGTAATGTTGAGGTAGCTGCTTACTTTTTTCTATATTGTTCATTTTACACAGATGTTTGTACATATTATTTAAAACCACTATTAGCAAATCATCCAACTATAAAATCTGTTCTCTGACACACATTATTATTTTGTTTGACAACCACCATTGGGACTGGCAACTCAGTCATTAAGCAAAATGGTCACTAAGTGAAACCCCAACTGTGCTTATGCACTTCTTTCAGCTTCCCTTTGTTCTGCAGACTTGCAAAGACCATCAATGTGAGGACTGGTTGTACAATAAAATTAATTGTTCATCACCATTATAACTGCAAATGGATGCTAAATGAGGCCGTACCTGTACAGTTCTCCTTGCTTATCCTTCAATACTCCTACATTGTAGAGATACTGGTTGAATTGTCTGAGAAAGTATAGAATCTGTGCTTTAATATTATACACTAACTAGTGTTCTTTCCTTGTAGAGGACAATTGTGAAATCAGTATGGTTCAGGACAGGGGTTGGTTCTACTTACCTTTACTACCGGTTCGCAACGGGATCGCATGCGCAGATCGCCGATGACGACATCCAGGGCTTGCGAACCGGTCCGAACCGGGGCCAACCCACCACTGGTTCAGGACCATCTCTCCAAAACTTCAGTATCTTGGCTTCGCCAGAGAAGCATCTGTAATGATGGGGTGTTGCAATCATCTGGCGGGCTCCCCATGATAAGTCCAGATTAGAGAAAACACAGACGCAGGTGTTTCTCGGGATGAGAGAGCCTCGAGCTGACTCCAGACCTCTCTTATTAGTAATCAAAGTACAGCGTCATCAAAAGGCGTTATTATGGCTACACATCTCATATTACATGCATGAAAAAAGAAAAGCATCCATATATTCTCCATATAGGTTTCACATTCTACAATATTACAGTAAATCACGTGAATTCTAGGAAAGTGATACCTAACGCAGAAACAAAACTTAACTCTTCTATGTTATCATATTTGGCTTCGTTCCCAGCATCCCATCACCTGCCAACTGAGAGGCCCCGTTACCAGAGATCTACCTCAGTTGTCAGGAATGTTAGTTCAAAGGGATTGCTACACAGTTTCTGTTCTTCAATATTATGAACAAAGAGAGAACGAATAGGGTCCTTCAGTGATCATCCATCTGAACCCGCTTTTCACAGTCAGATTATTTCGGTGCTAAACTCCGTACACGTGTCCAACCAGCTAGACTGGTCTACACATATACTGTGGCCACCTGATTCCCACAATGGGGTGTGTGAATGTGTACTTAGTGCATTTAAACACTGTGTCAGAAACCTGGAAACCCAACAAGATCAGTCTGCTCTTCCTAAAAACATCTTTTAAAAGCAGTCAAATTCCTCTTTTCAAAGCAGTAAGACATCATATAACTGTTCCCAAACTCCGAAGAGCACTAATTTTAGCACACTGCAATGCACTTCCCACAGCAGTTTTGGAGAGTTGATATTAAAAAATTCCACACAAGGTAAGATTGTGCCCCTGTGGACAAGGGGCTATCAAAACTACATCGCACATCCTACTATACTGTACCTTCTAATCTATAAGGACTCACGGACCCATTTCATAACCCATCACTTGATAAAATACCCAGGAAAATCAATATTTTTTTATACACAATTGCTGTTGTTGGAAGAAATGTCCATTTGGGTTCAGTTCCAAGTGGGGAGAAAGACATTGGAAACATGGAGGCTGTTTGGAAAGATGATTTAATGGTGGACCGGACCACATGGTTTGAGGTCCTGGGCAGTTGAGCATATGGAAGAGAGAGATAAATAGAGATTTATACCCTGTCTTGGGCTTTGAATTTGAGCTTACCCTATTGGTTGCAGTCAGACTCCCATGGAGGTATGCAGTCATAGCTGAGGTTGTCTGTGTCCCAGGCTTGGTTGAATCTTGCTGGGTGATTCAATGAAGGGCAGTTTCCTATTGTGGCTGAATGGCTTTGCCCTGAAATATAAATCCCATCATCCTGGAGCTGAGGTCCTTTGTTTTGTAGATGGACTGGCCCAGTCTTTTGTCTTGTAGATAGGTTGGCACCAGTCTTTCTGGGGCTATTAACAAAGGTGGGGACTGCTTTCCAAGAGCATGTTTCTCCTTTTCTCATCCAGGGAGGTATAATATTCTGCCTTTTTAATATTTCCTAGAATATTTCATTCTTCTAGGAGAGGGGTGGGTGCTAACTTTCTACACAGTTATCAGGTCAATCTGATGTAATCTCTTTGAATGTAGCTAAATTGTGTTGTATTGTCTGCAAAATTAGGCAGGCAAATTTGACTGACTGCCCACTGACAATCCACCACTAACTGTAATATATGACCTTCTCTTTTTATTATTATTTTTAATCCTTTTTATTTGTAATGCTGGTCAGTGATCATAATAAAAAATTACTTTCTTGACAACTAGAAGGTGTATTTGTCTAAATATTATCATTTACATATATTTTGTTGCCCCTTCGTACATACATTAGTCTTTGTACACCAGAATAACCAATTCTTATAGTGACTCAGTTATTTATTTATTTAAAACATTTATATAGTCGCCCCTCTTATAACCAACTCTGGCAGCTCTCAATCCAGAATTATGTAAATTGACAAGTTATATAGAGTTAATGTTTATATTGTTATATTTACTTTATTTGTATTGATGTAGATGAATGAATTCCTTGAACTTACTGAAATTTATTGTACTAAATGTTGGTCGGTGACTAAAATAAAGTCTCTCTCCCTCTCTTTCTCTCTTCTTTAATGCAAGATATGCACACATCTTTAAGGAACAATTAGTACTTTGTTTTTCAAAACAAATGATTTCTTTTTAGTAGCACTTAATCAACTTTTTGAGTTGCAGCAGGTGCATAAGATGGAATCATCATGAACAAATTAAAGTTACATCTTCTTGGACATGCATATTTTTATGGTTTATACCTATTAGCATATTAACAAATAGAGTGGTTTTCTTTTTCTTTTCTTTTTTTTTTTCCAAGCATGAATATCTGAGCTTTTC